AACAACATTTGAACATTTTCTTTGTACTAACTGCCAAAGAGTTTTACATGCTATGTGGTGAATCAATGCCAAAGAAAAAACCCACAGACAGAACCAAAACAAGCACACACCCCTTCCCCCACCCTTCTAAATGATGACACATTAAGGGTTATCCTCATACAGATTTAGATGACAGATAGCAAACACACCTGGTGCAATTGAATTCACTCTAATGCCATGCGGTGCCAGGTCCCTTGCGAGAGGAAGCGTCATAGCATTAATAGCTCCTTTAGTTGCTGCATACGCAACTTTTCCAGATTGTCCATCATAAGCATGAACACTGCATGTGTTAATAATCACTCCTCTCTCCCCTCCCTTGTCAGGTTCATTTTTAGCCATCTGCTCTGCTGCAAGGCGAGCCACATTAAATGTTCCTGTCATATTGATCTGCAAGCAAAAGTTTTTTTTTAAAACATTTTTTTTTATAGAAACAGAGGTAAAGTTGTGTGAAAGGCAAGCAACAAAGAGCTATGTAGTGATAGCCATTTGCATGCATATATTACGTTACACAGCTGTAGCTCTTTGCATTGCATTTTGTTACAGCTGTTGCTCATTCTATGTATTGTGTGACATAGCTGTAGCTTCTTGCATGCATTTATGCTCTGCAGGATTTTTTTTTGGTAATTGCCTAAACCCCTCAAAAACAATAATGGACCGTCCCTAAGTAAGGAAGATGTCAAGTCAACTTGTGTCTGAAAAAGGTTTAACAATGTTTACCTTCCTTTGCATATCCTAGTATTTTTGATTTATTTTTTTATACCTTTGTTATCTCCTCAAACATTTGAAGAGGGTGAACTTCTCCTACGTCAGACAATGTTTTTGCAATTCTTATTACTCCTGCAGTGTTCACTGTGACACGCAGAGGACCACACTTGTCTACAGCTGTTTTGATGGCTTGCTTGACATCATTTTCGGATGAAACCTGCAGTTGACAGGATATTGTTACAATTATTTTATTAATACATTCTAAGACAATCTGATCAGTAAATAGACTGTAAGACCAAGGCAATCAGATTTACTGGCTTTAACTGAATGCAAATTAGTTTTGGAAATTTTCACAAATCTTTAAACACCACCACCCCTCCCCCGCTACTATCGCCTCCCCGCCCCGTTCCATCCTTTCTATTGCACAGCACCCTGTCACTCAGTGCCTGTCACTTTTTTTCACCCTCCCCTCCCAAAATGGCTAATCAATACATATGGTTCACAGGAATAACAAACTATTCCTCACCTACCCTACCACAGAGGCAAAAACCCCTCCCTCACCCCGCAAGTAAGCTCGCCGATACAAGTACAGTTTCACACTTACGTCAGTTGGGACAAATATGCAGTTCTCTCCCAGATCACTTGCAACTTTGTCGCCTTCGCTCGAGGGAAGATCTGCTATAACGACTCTGCAGCCATGTTGAACCAGCCTCTGCGCTGTGGCGCGACCTAAACCGTTAGCACCGCCAGCAACGAAGCAAGCCAGATTGAGGAGCGCCATTTTGAAACATCCAGCGAGCCTACCGTATTGTGCACAGCGGAATACCGCACAAAGCACGTGTGCAAAATGGTGTCTTGAAGGAAAAAGTTTCGTTGGTTGTTGTGGTGAAATCAATAGGATTTTTTCACGAAAACTACTCTTCTTTGCATCTTGTTAAAAAAACAGGGTCTTGAGAGATGTCTTTTCGTCCCGCTGGAGCGGAAGATTCGGACTCTGGCGATGAAGGGTTTTATATGGGCAGCATTCACGACAGCAAACTGAATGGCGCTTTCAAAAACAGAACTGGTTCACGAAACAACTTTGCCGCAATGCCAGCTGGTGCAGAATCCGACGACGAAGATAGCGATGGTTTTGACTTGGGCAGTGCATCGGTGAATTCAGTGAAGTCAGCTTCGGCGAAATTCAGTGGGACGCGAACTGCAAACAATGGTGGACAATTGACAAGGCCAAATGACGTGAAGTTTGCTCCAAACTCTTTGTCCGAAACATCTGGCGTAGGAAGGGGTCGGGGACTGCTTTCACCGAGGGGGAGAGGACGGGGAGGATTTCCAAGACCCTCTCCAACTTTAAACAACAAAGGAAAAACAGCAAGAAGGTTGATTTTTTTGTCATACATAATAATTTGCTTGTAAAATTGTTTCCTTCTGCGTGTCATATCACCCATCACCCAAACTAATTGAGAAAACTGAGCAACCAAAAGCACTGGTTCCTTTTTTCAAAATCAGCAGTTTCCTGAGCTAGTAACCTGAACTGGAAAGTGGCAAGGAGATTTGCACTGGGCCATTCCATTCCCCGCCCCCTCTACCAGACAATGAAACAGACGACTTCATCCATATCATCAAGGGCCTATGGAACATACTCAGCCATTACAGGTGTTGTGGGTTACGGTCCTCAATGACAGCTCAGGGTTCTAAACAGGCTTTTAGCCAGGATTTGAAAAGCAGGTGTCCAAAATGTGCTATCGGGCCTGTTCAAATGAACAATTTATAAGGCAACATATGAAAAACAAAACAATTTTCTTCAAAAAGTGGCTGTCCACAGGATGCCTGGACTCCTATCTGGTTAAAAGCGTGGTTCTATACTCTACTTCCTGGAAAAGTGGGCTTTAAATTATCAAAAATAAGCTGTTAGCTAGCTGTACTTGAGAGAGCAATTTTGGCCTTCAAAGAAGCCCCTTCTCCCCCCCACAGGCAGGAGAGGAGGGAGGAAGGTCAGGGGTTAAAAATGGTTTTGGTGCCTCTTAGGCTGTTCAGCCTCTAAAGTTCTCAAACTCATTAATAATTCATCAAGTTTAAACAAAGGAAATCATGAC